GTTTACACCGGTGGCCGCATCCTTGTCGCCGTTGTACGTACGGTGCACGATTACAAGGCGGCCATTGAAACAGCGTAAGAACACCACGAATGCCTGAAACGCTCGGCATGGGACCGAGGAGCCTCCCCGATACAAATAGAATCGGCTTTACGAGGCGAGAGACGCTGTTGTGCATGTCCGTTCGCGGGAGCTTTTTATTCGCGGATCGTTGTAACTAAATCGACGCGCAAATTGCTTCGCGTTCGCTCTTTCGCGCGGTCGTTCCTGGATGTTCGACACTCTATTAGAATTCTGCTTTTTCTTCTTCCTCAATTCTTTGAAAACATAGTGCTTGGAAACTAAATGATTAATGTGATTGATATTACATTTGTAACGGCGATTGCTGCAGAAATTATTTATTTGTTTTTACCAATTTTTGTTCATAGACTGTAATATAGTACAAGGAAGCTCGACGTGGAAAAAGAAATACAACTCTAACACACTTAACTTACAATTACCCTAAACAACATTTTCCCCCCTAAACAGACGCACTAAAATTCTTCTGAACGAGCAATTTGCTTTCCCAAATTCCCACCGTGTAGTCTTCGAAATCTCATGAATGAATGGTCGGAATCCGATGAATGGATCGCGGGCACAATCGGTTCACTACGTCGAATCCGTGCTACGGGATCGAGACGGTGACGCTCGAAAAATTCCACGGCTGCCTATACACATCGTACTAATCCGAAACCGCCCGGGTGTACGCGATCTCCAGACCGAAGATTCGCAGCCTTTTAAGCGACAGGTGCAAACATTCGGCGAGGGGAATGGGTGGAGGGCAGCGCAAAAAAGGAAGCCAGTAATTGTAAGCCCCGGGTAGAAAAACCAGTTTGCTAAAAACAACCTGGGCTCGATCGTGTCTTGTTGCGGGGCTACCGAATAAGACGGGACGAGTCAGTGTACCGTGAGTACGAGACCGCGTATAAGGAACACGGTTGGATTCCTTTTGCAGACGGGAGAATACACATGCAACGCCGGCGCATACTTGGACGGTCGTATATACGTGGTGTCTCGGGGACCAGCGGTTGTTTCTCTTTTTCGTGGTTGCCTTTTTGTTTTGTTAATTTAATCAGCTGGAACGAATCTCGGTACTTAACCGATTCCCGAAAAATGTGACCAAAAGGGACGCGGAATTGCTAATTCGCGAGAGGAGATGGGCTTGATTTATTTCGGAGTAAAAGACTACTGATAAAAAAATTTAAGCGGATGACCATCCGTCCGAATGAATTCCATTGAAAACTCTTAGAGTTTTAGGTATTGGGTTAATAGAAATATAATTGTTTTTTGAATGGAATATTTACAGTTTCTTGTAATGAGTTAGAGACACAAGGTAAAATTGACTTTTTCATGTTTCTGAGTTTTATAATAATCTAGGAGAATTTGGATTTGCATGATGATCTAGAGTCCAAAGACGGAATTTACGATTGATGGTGATTCACTGCGGGTCTTTATGCATGTATCTTTATATATATACTTATATATTTATTATATTTATTATATTTATTATACATACATATGTATGTGTGTGTGTCGAACGCGTCTCGGTAGCTACGCAATCCACCGTGACGACGACGCGTCGTTCATTTGAACCAGCCTGACCTTACTTAACCCAAATCTCAGACGGAATCGGCCGGCTTCAGGCCGTCGCCGCCGCCGCCGATCGCACCGACCTGACCTTCCTTAACCCGATTCTTCTAGAATACGGTAACGAACTGCACGCGAACGTCGAAGCGGAAATCCTACGACACGGCCCGTTAACCGCGTATTTGAATTGAATAACGATCGCCTTTAAATTCGAATCTAGGCGACCGGGGATTGAACGCGCGAGCGCAAACACATATATAGATATTCAGGAGGGGACAGACGAAGAGAAAGAGAGAAATAGAAGAGGGAGAAAGGGACACGGTGGATCGTGGCTGAGGCCACGTTCACGGATCGCTGTGTTCACCTGTCGCAGGTAGAGCGGAATCCTCATTGAGATTCCGTCGTGGTCTTTTTATATTACCGTCCCCCCGGCGGCCATTGTTCTCAGCGTCGTAAATTATTGCCGGTGGTTGCTAGTCGAATTGCTCAAAAACTGTGTATAAATCACCGGGTATTAGAAGGTCGCCGGGACGATTGTTCGGTACGGTGTTTTCTAGGTTGCATTTTGTATGCTTGTTCGTCTTGCACGGGGGAAAAAGGGAACGCGTGGTTCTTGTTACAGTATAACGTTCGAATGACTCCTCTTCTACGGTAGAATAAACGAGATTGTAATGGTAGAAGTGATAGTTGATAGAAATGGTGGTTACAATTTTTTCATACTATGGATACTTTTTGGAAATGCCAATTTTTACGGAGTATTTTCTAAAAAGTAGAATTGGAAAACAAGAATTAAATTTTCGAATTTTGTGAGGACACTTAGAGGATAAGTAAATTTATAGAATGCAATAATGAAACGAACACTTCAACAAGGTTTCCATACACTGGCAAGGAAGAACCTTGCGGGAAAGGGAAACAACGAGACGAAAAAGAGAAAACTAGGTAGAGAAAGACAGAGAAAAATAGAGAAAGGTACAGATAAAGAGATAAAGAGAATGCATTTGTCGCACACGCCCTCCGGGGCCTCGATAGGTTCCGAACACGCGGGAATTATGCCGGCCGGGAGTACATAAAGCGACGGTCAGAATGCGGATTCTGTTTGGTTGCGTTTTGCCCCTATCGCCGTCGCCGTCGTCGCGGTGACTATCGAGAGACTTCGATGCGCGCACGAGACGTGACGCCCCGGACGTGTCTCTCTTTTCCGTGACGCCTTTGATGCCCCGTGTCGTTTTCTTTCGCGGTTGATGATCGCCGCTGAACTATTAAAAGGGTTGATGACCCAGACTGTTAATCCGTTTGGTGTATTTTAATATGGAACAAATAGAAAACGAGACGAAATCAAGTGAATTAACTTTTTAACGGACAATTTTTCGAAACCAGCAAATAATTTACGAGTCATTCAAAGTCGTCGCGTTACAAAACCAATCCTGCACATACACCGTAGACACACAACAATTGGACGCACGTAATTTTTCTCGTCGCTTATTAAACTTTCCTCGTCCACGATGGAAGTTATTTACGACCAGAACCCCACTGGCCATACCCACCCCCTGGGCCAAAAAAAAACAGGCGAAAACGAAAGGTTCCACGAAAACAAGTCTCCCATCGGTCGGGATCAATAACCAAAAAATCATCGGCCCCGGAGAGACCAGGTGGGTCGAGAAGAAGGGAAGCTTGTTATTTTCCTCTGGCACGGCTGACGTATGACAGACGTGGGCCCTTAAGGGCCTCCATTCGAGCGCCTCCGGGGCCCAAAGGGGAAGATATATTTAGACAGGGCCCCGTGAAGGATCTCGCCTCGCCGGGCACCGGTCAGGCGATGGTAAAATTCGCGCGGAAAGTGGAAGAGTGGATATCGCGGAGGGGACGACAGCGCCCAGAGAAGGGAGCCTTCTCTCTTTCTCTCGTGATAAAACAGAAATCGAACCCCCCGAGACGACGATCCCGTTGTGAAATAATTTACAACCGGTACGAAACGCTCGCGACTAGGTACTTATAAGGTAAAGGACCCAATTACTAACACTTTAAGAAATGACACTACCATTATTGCACAATTTTTAATAAAAACATGAGCTTTCATTTGTATTTATTATTATTTAATACGTTTAATTGAAGGAAAACTTTGTCGTAACTTTCTAAACCTCTACTTTTGTTTATAACAAAAATTGATGGAAAAAGGAAATTAAGTACCGCTCTTTTTATCATATGAATTAGTTTTACTTACATGCAGAATTTTCTTTATTTATAACAGTCTAGGATGACAGTAATTCGGTAGGCAGAAAATAGATGTTTTATCCTAATTCACGCGGGCAAATCAGTCTGTCAAGTAAACACGCCGCGGCCCGTAAATGTACATTATTTTCACCTGGCGAGCCAGGTGAATGATTTTAACGGCAATCTGTGTCATGTATCCATCAATAATCCGCGATCATTAGGTGCTGAATCTTTTCCACGGAGAAAAAGCAACGGAATAATTTCGTACGAAGCCGTGCCCATCAGAAATCTCTCCTCGTTTCGAACTCGGTTGCATCGAGTCGGAATAATATCAGCGGCCACGATGGGAGATTGGTAAATGATGATCATCGGGATGGTTGTAAATGATCGTGTTAGCGTTTCACGCTGTCTCGTGGTAAATTTAATATTAACGTTTATCTTGGTCTATCGTTTGGTCGACTTTTACCGTGTTTTCCATCGAGAACGAACCCTTCACCGGTTAGACAAAGCTGATTACTGTTTCTATCCATTAAGTCAATCGCTTTTGGGATAAGAGTTAATTGTTCCTATCTCGTGGAGGAATGCGAAAATTGCTGATTTGGAATGCGTTCGGTGAGATGGTTTAGTGGAACTGCTAATAAATTTAACGGAGAATTTTACTCATTGGTTCGGCTGATGCTCGTTTTTTTTTAATCTTTATACGGGCCATTGAAACGACCGCAATTACCCCCTTTCACCCTAATAGATCCCGACAGAGCCCAATCGGAGTGCAAGCCTCTCCAGACTATCGGCGCAAGCAAGCCGTTTGACCCGAATAGATATAATTTCTCGCGATATTTCACCTGCACCGAAAGAACAGCCACGGTCCACCGAATCCGAGACACTCGTCGAGCACACGCAAAAGGCAAGATTCCATTCCGTCGGTCTCAACCGACGCCCGCCAACCCCGTGAAGAGTTTAGCTTTCGCAGAAAAGAAAGTCAATAAGAACAGAGATTCCCGGGCGTTAGGTTCTACGTGCTCGGTTTCATTACCATAAACTCGTCTCGGAGAGGGGAACGGGGATCCGAGTGAAATTAACCCGACCGGAGGTGCGGAAACGACGGAACGGGTAGAAACAACACGAAACGGTCCCATATCGTCTAGGGGAGGAGAGAAGCAACTTACCTCGCACCTGGAAGTGTCCAGTATCTCGACCTCGGTACTAACGTTATCGATGGTAACGCTGTGCCGGTACAGGAAATCTGTAACAGAGACCAGAAAACGAGATTATACCGACGCCGTTGATGAATTATGCATTCCTACACCTACTCGTCTGCAATCGCTATTATCGCCGGGTCTATAGAGGGCTAGGCGAAATGGAGGGAGGCAAACCCGCGAGAAGAGAGAGAAGACGTACGAGCTCGCCACGGCGAGGATAATGAAATCGATCCGTCAGTCCTCTTCGAGGATCGAGAGAGATCTTACCCCGTGGCATGGTGGACGAGTAATCGGTTGGATCTAGCCTAGCGTCCTTGGTCCAGGCGATCCGAGAAACGATAAATTGAAACTGAATACCGGGGCCCCCGGAGATCGATCTAGGAGCTAAACCAGCGATATTAATGCCGTAGCGACGGTGAAACGGCCGCGCTGGGGTAAAATCCCTGTTAATTCTTGAAATTATTCTTTTGTCTATCCCTCTCTGTCCAGCTTACCGAGTGGCTTCCTTCTCGCTCGACATTCTCGCGGGTGATTTACGAACACCATTTGTCCGCTGTCTTCGGTCGCCGGTTCGACGCGAAACAAGGTAGAGCGGAGCGAACGATGGAAATTGAAATTCACGATCGAGGGGATACTTTGGACTGCTTGGAATAATACAGGTTTCATTTCTGGGGATTGTTCTTGAAATTTAACAGGCTCGGTATTAAGAGGAGTAACATACGCTACTGGTAGATAGTAAGTACAGTGGACTCTAACTATACAGAGTGGTCCGTTTAAGTAAGGCCACTTAAATGTCTCTTGAGGTTATCGTGATGAAAAAAATATTTGTTACGTATTTTGCATGGTGTCAATGGAACTGACTCAAATAAATAAATGATGGAAATACTTGTGGACACCTATTGTTTGATGAACAGACACAGGAATTCTACTAATAAAGTAAGGGAAAATTGATTTCTCACGAAACAAAGTGAATTATTTTTCAAAGGATATATTAACGTCGAAGCGAGCTATATTGGACGTGGAGTTTCCCGCGAATAGAAAACGCGGCTAATGCGCGAAAGTCTCGAACCAGTTAGTAACGACAATTCCGATTTGACGCGGTGACGCCGGGCGTCGCGCCGCTCTGTCATTACACCGCTGACTGACAATAACGCCGTAACTTTCGCCAATGGAATCACTATCCGACTTGAGCCCTTAGGGAATCACAGAAAAATCTACTTTTAAGTAAATTGAGCTGGAACTTCGGCACGAGTTTGTTAATATACAGAGAGAGTCACCTAAGTGAGGTACGTGACATCAAATACTTAGTTATAGATGAAAAAGTAGTGTGTTAATCATCAATAAAAACTAGAAAGAGTAAAGTTTTATGTTGTATGAATTTAATATGGAAATAATTCGTGTTCTGTTTTGCGATACACCACGTATGCCACTTCGAATATATAAAGTTAAAATATCTCCTAAACTAATGGTTTTTTAATACGAACAGGTGAATACTTTTTTATAGAAAATTACAAGCTGAATCAACTAAGGTAATAAAACATACACGATTCCATTAAAAAAAAATACTAATTACCTGAAATTATGGCCCCTTCAAAGCCATACAAGTAACAACAACTTCAATTCATCTCTAATTATCAATAAATTAATCTCCAATTCTCAATTCATCTCTAATTCTCAATAATGATCTTTAAGTCTGCACAATCTCCAATTCGACGGAACATCGACCAATCCAAAAACAATTCCACCTTAAAAGGATGATCGATGTTACCACCAAGCACAGTAGCCACCGATAAAACGAAAAAAAAGGGGGTTGGAGGGGTAGAACGTGCAAGTACATATGCAATAAATAAACCGATAAATGAACACATAAACACCTCGTCGATGCCGTCGAACGCCACAGAAACAAGCAAATAAGGATGCTCGTTATATTAGCGGAGCCGTTACGCTCGAGAACGTTTTATTGCCGGACAATGCCGATGGGGAAGCGATTTGAGCAACCGTTGCGTCGAGGAAATTTATAGCGTACCCACAGAAAAATCGTGTCGGGATAAGAGAGTAGGGGTGCAAGGAAAGAATTTCAATCAGCGAAGAGACGGCGCGTTTCACACGATACATGTACAGGGTGTCCGAAAATAGATAACATTTTTCCTAGGAAAAACTTGTTTCAAATCGTCCGAGGAACCCCTCATTTCCGGGAGTCGAAGCTATTTTGGGACACCCTGTATAAGTAAGTACAAGGGCCACGGAGATTCTTTGAAGGCCTGAGACCATCGATCTTCAGGCCGGATAAATCTCGCCGATCGATCAAACATTTTAACTACCAGCCAGAAAGCTTTTCACTCGTTTCCCAATTGAAGATCATCCCTGATAACGGAGATTTTTTTTTCATCGACCAGGGAGGATAAAGATCACTCTCTCTCACGCGGTTCCCCCTTCTTTTTTCCGTTTCTCACGAAGCTCGTGAAATTTTCGGAAAAATCATTCGAACCTTCCCGAGAGAGGATAATTGTCGGTGTTTAACCGTGGTGGGAGATTTCCTTATCTCAGAGGATAATTTACATCCGGCGATCGGATCGAACGACGGTTGCATGCGATCGTATATTCTCTCGTTGACAGGACGTCACGCGTGAAACCGATCGCTAAACACGTCGCCGTACGTACCCGTGGATCAATCGAACGATTCGCGGAACGCTTTCGATCGGCGGGGAATCCACTTTTCCGAACGATACGCCCTCGAACGGTGAAAGCGGGACCCCATTGATTTCGTTCGGTCTGGCTGCGTGGGTGACGACGGGGATCGCGTGGAAAACTTCCCAGTGAGTCGATAGAAATCGAATTTTCACGTGAAATATACCGCGAATCGCTGGATTCCGGGTGTTTATGTAAATTGTAGGTTTTATCGCGAAGACGAGAGTCCAATAGAAATTTATTTATTCTGTTGACGCCGCGCCCGGTGACTCTAAATTTTCAAACGTTTTTCAAACAACCAAACGGCTGTTAAAATTGCAATTACATTTATTATTCGTGAAATTTCTCTAAGAATATACGCTATAATACGCTAAACAGAAAATATGGGATATTATAAGTGCAACCACACTCTATTTATAAACGTTTAATAATTTTTAATTTATGATTTACATTTCTTTGCCTAATGATCATTCACTGGTATCCAGTTAATTACTGGTTGGTTTACCGTATACGACGCGTGAATGTTCGCTTACGCGACCATTGGCGACAATTATTATCTGCTCCAGATAAACCGACGGCCGTAATGGCGTGTGGCCGTAAAATCGGCCAGGAAGTATTTACGGTGAGATTGAAAATTCTTGTGGAAGGCCCGGTTCGATGGAACTAGGGAAATGACGGTCACGCATGGGAAATATCGACTCTGTCGAGGAAGAACATTTATTACCGGATACGGAAGGCCGAGGATTTCCTCTTTTGCTTCATAATTTACATTCGATTCCGATGGAAATAACGAAAAATACTCGTGAAATATTATTCTTCGAAATGTTAGGGTGCTGGTAATCGTATGGATCTTGGTGGCTGGATCTAACTGGACCCGTAGCATATTTAATTTCTGTTCATTAGGGCGATTAACTTCGATAAACACTTAAGGTGGCTCACGCAAATTTGTAATAATTTTAAATTTAGTTGCAAATTTCACAGAACATTCTTAAAAGCTTGAACTTTCGACTGCTACCAAAAAGTCGCAAGGTAAACGATAAAATTAGTGAAAACGAAAACCATTATGAAAATTTCATTTTTACACTGCCTTATTCTACTTAACAAGTCGAACGACCAATATTCGTCGATCGCCTCGAACTATCGAGCCAGTCAGATCTACACATCGTCGAGCAAGCTAGATCTATGCATCGTCCAGAGTAAAGGGATTAAATCATTTCGTTCAAAATAAACGAAAAGAAAGATAAGAAATCCTTATCGGAAGATCGATCGACGGTGACACCTAATAGAACAGATTATACCTGCCTTTCGCCCCCGGTATCTGATTCCCCATCATACAGAAATTCCCATCGGTTTTCAATCAATCACACTCGGGGTTTATCTTAAATCGACGTTGAACGAGGGGGGTTATAGTACCCGGCTTTCCTACAATTGATTGCCGTTCCCGAAGTACAGACAATTCCGCACCAGGTAGAAAGTAATGGTCAATCAGGCGGGGGAGGTGGAGTATACCCAGGTTCGCAAATTAAATTTGATTTCTCGGAGGGGTCCCCGCGTCGTGAGGGAATGAGGTCGATGATCTATGGCAGTGGGATAGGTAATGACGGCCGGTCGAGAGGATCGAGGATGATTGCGCGGTGATCGAGACTTGTCCTTTGCGTGGCGTCTAACGTTTTAACGGGGCACCGAATAATAATCGATATTCCTCTTCTTTCGCCGGGACCGATCAAGCTTTGTGATTGTTTTCGATTTTCGATTAACAATGCAAATCTCTTTCACCGCCGGCTCGTTGCGTGGAATAATTCTAGACAATGATTTAGAAAGCTGGGACCCCCTCCTCTTCTCTATTCGCGGTTCCGTAGGTAGATACATTGACGATCGGTTCGTGGATGGGAACGTTTTGTCCGCGGGTCCACGAGAAACAAAATGAGAACAGATTAGATCGTGCATCCCGACCTGGTCGATAGATCACTCCACGGATCGATGGATCACGTGCACACCGTTATGCGCGACGGATTTCGAACAAACGTCTCGAGCTACTTATTGGGAAACGCTCCTCGTATAGGGTCGTTTCTGATCGATCGGTGGCATGCTCGTGCGACACGTTCCCTTCATGTTCAAAAAGGGGGAAAAATCCGGAAGAGACTGGGTGAATTTCAATAATCTTTCAGGATGATTAGGCGCAAGGAGTTCTGGGAGCAGTGGAAATACAATTTACATATAACGTTTTCAAAATGTTACTGTTTTTCGATATACAGTAATGTCTCCAAACCACTGACGTAATGTAACCTTTAATCCTACAACATTTCACCTAACCCCCATATAAAAGCTGTAATATCACCGTGCCTATACTCAAACT